CACCTACACTTCAATAATTTCATTCTATTTGCTTATGTTCATCTCTAGCAATGCTTATGAAAATTTTCTGAATGTGTTCAATAAATTTAATTTAGGATAAGAAAGATAAGAGAGATGGGTTTTTATTATAGGATTGTGCTTTGTGGGCTAAAATACCTTGTTTTTGTTTTTGTTGTTTTGTTTTTGGATATGGGGTCTTGTTAACAAATTAAATTGCTCCTTGAAGCTGGAGATTGATCATGTGTAGGGTTAAAGCAAGGCCAGCCCTAAAAACACAAGAGAGCCAAAAAAACAAGCTAGGTAAACAAGCTGTTCCAGCTCCAAGAAGGCAAGGGGCCCAGGCCAGCCAGGCAAACAAGTTGCTAGGCAGCAGGGTTGAAGTGGACATTCTTCTTGGGAATGTATAAATAAATGTGCTACAGTGATTGAGCAGTTCCTTCTCTCCCATCAAGAGAGTAAGGGCTCCCCCTGAAGCCTGCTTTTGTCTCTTCTTTATTTTCTCATCCTCTCGCTGTCTTTCTTCCCAGAAATACCCAGAGCTGCAGCTGGTCACTGTAGCTCAGGCTGGGTTCAAACTCACAATCCTGTTTCAGTCAACCAGAGTGCTGGGATTATAGGCATGCGCCACCATGCCCAGTTTAAAATGCTGTCTGAGTAACCCCTGAATGAGGAAGAGGCAGGGAACCTTCCACAAATGCTTTCCTCTTTTTCCTCCCCTTCCTGATTAAACACTCTGAATCACCAGGTCTGGCCAGCTTCTAGAGGTCTAAAGCAGCTGTTCATGGAGAAGACAGACATACAGAGGGTGAAGGGTGGATGTGTTCAGTCTGCATTTTTAACCCGGAGCTGACAGTGAGGTGCTCACCTGCCCCTGCTTGCTTACTGAGTAGAAAACAAGGCCCTACAGTTTCCTTACCAGGCTGGGTTCGCAAACTATGGTCTGTGATGGGGACACAGGATCAACTGTGAGACATTTCTTGGTGTCCAGGCCTCCGTAGGTATTTAATCACTCATCCTGGTTAATCACACCAGTGGGACACAATAACTGATACTCACAATTTAAGTAAGGATGGATTTATTTTGGTTCATGGTATTTTTTAAAAAATAGGATTCATTCCACGGTCGTTGGCTGTGGCAGGAAGCCATGGTGGGAAGATTGACAGAAGAAAGTTGAGCGCGTCATGGCAGCCAAGAAGCAGAGAGACAAGGGAGGAGGTGGGGAGGGTGATACCCTTCTAGACCAGTCCTCCAGTGACCTATCTCTTCCTATGAGGGACTACCTCTCAATGGCACATTCAGCTATGCACACATCAGCAGATTCATCCATTGGTGAGTACAGCACCCCTGTGATCCAATCACCTTCCAAAAGTTTAACCTCTGACCACAGAAAGCATTTAGGGAGCATTCAAGATTTGAATCATAACATCCCATTGTGCTGGTTTTCATGCATAGTTTTGTTTCCCCTACGTGACTTGCAAGCATTACTGGTGTAATCCCAGGTCTCTGAGAGGCTGATGCAAGAGAATCACAAGTTCAAGCTTAACCTGGGCAATTTAGCAACTTAGATCCTGTCTTTAATAGTTTGGAAAAGGAGTCCACGCAAAGGCCCTGAATTTGATGCCCAATTACTGGCCTGTTCCACCCCTCAAAATAAGACAGCATCACTTAGGATCCATTGCCCTCTGGATTTAGGGCAAGACTGAACAATGGAAGGCACCAGCAGTCAAGGGCAGAAGGCGAGAGAGCTGGGGTATTTACTCTGCTAGCTCTCTCTCTAGCCATGGCTGTGCCTCTCCAAGAAGACAGCTTCTCCAACAGACCTCCGGCCTTCCATTCCTTGCAGTGTCAGTAATAGAACTAACTTTCTGTGGTAGCTTTTCTCTGGGTGCTGCCGTGTTTCCTAATGACTTCTTCAACTCCACCCCACTTCTAAGAAACCCCTTCAAGGAAATCTCTGGAATTGGTCTGATCCATCATCATGTGCAAGGTTTGGTCTTCCCTCCCAGTCTGAGAGAGGCCCAAGATCAGGCAGTGCACATTTTTAAGATTGATATTTCCAGGACTTGGTACAGTGGACTGAACTAAGTGGTTGCAAGGAGTGTTGGGGACGTTTTATTGAGAAGACCTCAGACCTGGTTGTCAAAGGGCATTCCTGTGGTTCGTGTTTGACAAATCATTGTACTTGATGAGATTTTATTCTTCGGGGACAAGGTCCAGGAACACGTAGATCACATTGTACAATATCCAGGGCTATGTGACTCCAACTTAGGTCCTGAACTGCACCCTTGTGTTGATGATGAGCAGGAGGACACTGTGGACAGCAGTAATGATGTTGATGATGGACTGTCCACTTATCTGACTGAGTCACAGGAGGATTTTGTGTTAGCACAGTGCTCTCTGCCTTATTCCAAGAGATATTAATTTCCTGGGTCAATTTCTTTGTTGAGGCTTAGTTAATTTTGACAACTAATTTACCCACATAACTGCTGTTTGCATTGAGAAACAACATTCCTATCACTCCTGGAAATTACCTTATGTCAACTTCATTTCCAGAGCCCTCTGAACTGCACCACCACTGAAATTTGGTGTCCAGTGAACTCCTGCTGTATCCTCCAGCCATGGCTGTGCATCTTTTCTTGTGCTGTTCTTTGTGAAATACTTTAGTTTGCTTCTTTTGCCTGATGGACTCCCACTTTCCTTTAAGACCCTTCCTCCAAAAAGTATCCCTGATTTTGTGCTGGATAAATAATAGTTTCACAATGCCCTGAATTGTTTGTCTGGATTTTTGTCATGTCAAGGTATTGTTTTATAGCATTTTGTGCAAGTATTTTTTCCCCTTAAATGGCAAACTCCTTGAGACAGGCACTGGGTTGTATTTTGCTTATAATTCCAGTATGTTTGTTTGATTATTTCATCAGATTTCGAGACACTAACTAAACATTTAACATCTATTACCCATTAGATTGCAAGAAACAAAAGCTCAGGTGTATGGAAAGATTCACAAGGACACCCTTGCCCTTGGAAAGACATGACCTCGCTTAGCTTGAGGGACCTCTCCACTTGTCTCTTGGATCTTCTGCCTCTTCAATTTGTTTGCCCCCCTTTTCTGATTGGCTTTCCCTGATCACCTTTTAGTTTTGCTTTTTCCTTTATGCTTGCATTTAGCTGCAGCTTCTTCTCATCTTGACTTTATATCTAGAAGGCCCAAGTTATCATTTATGGAGGTAATAGTCCAACAAGCTCATGTAAAGTTTATGGGTCCACTTCATTGTCCTATCACAGGCCTGGAACTGGCCTCTGGGTCACAAGTCCAACATCCCTAAGCCAGTGAGCTAAGGGTGGATCCATAGAATAGTTTTAAACAGTGTAGCCTTATAGAAGAAGGGGTGGGAAGGACATTGATGGGTTTCTGAGGTCTCTCCTACCCCACTGCCAAGAAAAATACTGTGTATTTTTCCCCCATCTTCGCTCCCAAATTATTTTTCTTATTTTTTATCTCAGGAAAGTAACTTCTCTCTGTTTAGGATCTATGAAATTAATGAACACTGAAACTAGAAGAAACCCTAGGGTTTATTGGCTTGTATGTGTTCCATGTAACACTAAGTCCAAAAGATATTCCATGAAAAAAGTCAAGATATTCTAGCACTTTCCTTGGCTTTTGGCTCACACCAGGAAGCTAACTCTCAGAGGCCTTGTTTCCTTGGGAGGATCAAGGGTCCTTTGTATAAATGGACCCCTGCAAAGTCTAGGTCCACTCCACTGGAGGCTCTAACGCAGAGGTTTCTGAAGAGGGTCCAGAGGAAATCAATGATGAACTACTTAAAATTGTCTGCAATTTGAGTTAGTACTATTGGAATGTGTGTGTGTGTGTGTGTGTGTGTGTGTGTGTGTGTGCATGTGTGCACTTAGGTGCACTTGAGCATGTTTCTGGAGAGTGTCCATGGCTTTCATCAGATTCTTGCAGGTAAATAACTTGAAAGAGAAAACATAGATACAACGTCTACTTAAAAGGGTAGCAGTTGACTGCTCCTTCCCAAGACAGAACTCTCTCTGTTCTTTTCCAGTTTAAGCACTGTATTTTCTCCCCCAGAGATCTACCCACCATGTGGACATAGGAGAAGAAGTCTCGATGGTTTTTAGGGGCTTCATGCTCTCATTTTGCTAGAGATGAAACTAAATAATGATGTTTCAATGTGAAGCCGCTGGTTGTATTAAGGTTCCACTCTGATGAGGAACGCTGGCGACAGAGGGAGGCGCTAGACCTGCGGTGAGGGAAGAGGATGTACAGTGGGAACCTCTGTGTTGTACCTCTGCTCCATCTTGCTGTGAATCTAAAACTGCTCTACAAATTAAAACCTATTAAAAACAAACACGAACGTTAAGGCTCAGAGAAATAAAATACAGTTTGCCAAAGGCTAGATAGCAGGCTCAGCAGGGATTGCAACTTTCCTCTCTCTTCTTTCCTTTCTTTAATTTCTTTTTTAAAATCAACAACTTAACATTTTTTTCTATTTCATTAATAAATCACCACCTCTTTTTTTTTTAAAACGCTTACTGAGGTCCAAGCGCTGTGTTACACGTTTCTCCATTAAATACTAGAGGAATCCTTCTGTTGGATACTGTGATTCCATTTAAAATTTTTTATTTTTCAGAGGAGGAAGTTGATTGTTAGAGATCTGAAGAAACTTGCCCAAGGACGCCGGCTGCTTATTCCCAAAGTCGGCAGAGGAAGTCCCCGTGTCGCTACTGTGCTTTGTTAGTGAGGACTGTTTGTGTCACTTTTGTGCGTAACTCCACCCAGCTTCAAAGGCTCGCTCCCAAGGACAGATCGTCCTGCCCGCGCGCACCCCTTGACCTGCGGATCACACCTGAGGCTCCGCGGGGTCCAGGTAGAGCCGGACGCCGCCCCCTGGTGGCAGGTGGGCGCGCGCGGCGTATGCTAATGAGCCCGTGGCGCCTCTCCGTGATTGGCTGGCGCGGATTCCAGCTGCTTCGCAAGTCGGCGGGTGCTAGTGAGAGTCGAAGGGCCGCCGGCGACAGCCCGGGTCCTGCGCCCTCCTCGCTCTGCGCCTCCCAGGCGACGCCCAGGCGTGGCCGGCCAGACTGCCAGCTGCACCGGGGGGGGGGGGGGGCCCTTTCCGTCTTCTCCAGCGTTTGTGTTCTGATCGTGAATTTACCCAGGGTCCAGGATGACGATCCGACACCAAGGCCAGCAGTACAGGCCGAGAATGGCATTTCTACAAAAGGTAACCCTGACGACCCTCACCTGGCCCGTGGTGGGTGGACGGGGACCAACTCTGGGGGACCCTTCCGAGAAGATGCTGGGCAGGAGGAGAGGCGTCCCTCTGGTCGGTCCGCTGATTGATTGCATCGAATGACTTGTTTGCCTTGTGTGTTGCTTTTAAGGGCTTAAAATAAGGTTTTTGTGTAAACTGTGTGTAGTGAAGAATGTGCAGCCAGCTACGATGGTCCGCGGGAGGCTGAAAACAACCTGTTACTCGGAGACGAAGGTGCCAGAAGGCATTTCAGCTCTGGGTGTGTGGGGTTTGAAACAGTCTGCGGATACTGTTATAAGACACTCAGCTGCTAAATTAACATTTTTTTGGCCATTTTTCGGATCCAAAACTCCATTATTTTAAACTGTGTTCACATAGAGACCATGAAAATCTTGTGATTTGTAGGATCAAGGCCACTTGACTTACGATGCCCTGACACCCTTATTTGAGGATGTGCATCTGTGTATCTCCCTCTGTGCTGGTGGCAGAATGGTTGGAAAGCTTTCTGAGACTGAGGGACCAGGCTCAGGATGTCCATCCCGGAGGACAAATGAGAAGTGGATGCACTTGTGGAGCTATGTGTTTGGGGACACAGTTCTTCATTTTGTCCTGGGGTTTTGGGATAGTGAGTGCAGGGAAAGATCCACCCAGGATTAGGTCACAGGTCATTTGTCTGCCCTTCCTCCCATCCGTAACCACTCTGCACTGCGCAGTGTCTTCTTAGGCTTATCCTGTTTAGTGGAATTAGCTGAATGCTTTGTGACATCCTAGGTCCTGCCTTGAGGTCCTGGAGCTCAGCAGATTGGTGCATTCAGTGCCCAACTGCCCAACTGTCCTAATTTGCTAAATGTTAAAACCTGTACAGTCCTGAGCACACCACGATGTTAGGACACTCAGTCTATCGGTTTCAAGAAGGCTGGGCTCACTCCAGCCAGTAGAAGTGTGAGGATTTTCCATAAAACAGGTGGAATGTTGTCTTACCCTGAAAGGAGCCACACTGTAGCTTCCAGTCCCTAAAAGCAGGACACACAGCCTAAGTTCAATGTCTGAAGTCAAACTCCCTCATCCAGGCTTTATCTCTCTCTGACTGACCTCTTCCAGTCAGGGCAGGTCCGGCTTGGAGGTTTGGAGGCTCATGATCTGGAGACGTCCCGCTTCTTTATCAAATCTCGGACGTCCTTTTTCTATCCTGACTGCTGCCTGTATTCTCTGTCTACCTTTACCTTCAGACTGGTGTCTTGCTCTTCAGCTTCTTTCACCTCCAACCTGGGCCTCTGTTCCATCGCCCCAATGTTCTTCACCTTCAGACCAGCCTCCCTCCTCTCCACCTCAGCCTCCCCGCAACCCCAGCCTCACCTACGTTGCTCCCTGTCTCCTCTCTTCCCCACTCTTCCAAGCCAAGCTTTGCCCTGGCCTGGCACTCCTACCCCTCTCCTACCTCCACACTCCGCTCCTCCATGATATCGTTCAAAGATACACAAAGTTTTCTTTCTCAAACCAATGGTGATCACCACAAGTTGAAACCCCCTCAGACAGGATGCAATCTGCCCTTCTCAGCCTGGCTGCTTGGGGTCCTGCTCTGAGCCCTCTCTCAGGTTTACCTCCCACATCTGCCTTCCAGGAAGTAGCATGCAGTGGCCACAGGCACTCAGGGCTCTCAGCTCAAGGACTTCTTCACCTTTTTAGGAGCCTGGTGTCCTTTCACACCTCAGGCTCCCTTTCCTGGGAAAATTCTTTCTCTGTTTTACCAGCTTTCCACTCCTTATCTTTCTGGGGCTCCTGCTCACCAGCCCCTCCTCTGTGAAGGCAGATTCTGCTGACCCCTGAGAAAATAACTTCCTTCTGTGCCTGAAGACAGCCACCTGGTTCATCCCACTGTTGCTTTCTCTGCTCTGTTCTGGGAACAATTATGCCTGAGTATTTGGAGATCTTTGGTCAGAGTATTTTACAGAGAAGGATATTGGGGCTTAAAGAGGTTAACTGACATAGCCACTAAGTGATAGAATCAAAAATACAAGGTGGCCATCATCTGCTCCCAAATGTGATATAATGCTATGAACTTTCCTGTGATATGGGACACAGTGGAGGCTTGGAAAGTCCTGGCTCAGTGTGTCTGGGGGACACAGAGCTGAAGATTGGAGAATAAATGATAGGCTCCAGGCAGATGATCTAGACAGGGAGAATAAATGAGAGGCTCCAGGCAGATGCTCTAGACAGAAGGAACAGCATGTTCCAAGGCACTGAGGCATGGGAAATCTGGGGTAGGGAGGGTATTGGGGACTTACTGTGTTGCTCTGCAGCTGATGGAGTTTGAGTGTAAAGGGAAGGGTGGAAAGGTAGGTGGAGATAGAGGAGACTGTAGTGGGACCTTGTAAACCTTTGATGGTAGTTTGATTTTGTCTTATGGGGAGAATCATAGAATTTGGAACAGGCAAGTGAGAGGGCAGATTTGCAAGTTAAAAAGATGACTAGTGTGAGTGAGAGGAATGGGTGTCATGTCTTCTTCCCTGGGGCTGAGAGAATTCACCCGGTGTCCTTCTGTGCCAGTCACACTGAGCTCAGGTAAGGCCGTTGCTTCTGCAGTACTTGAGGTTCCCACTCTTCTGTCGCTTCTCCTGTCTGAACTGCTGCCCTCTGGGGCTGCCTTGGAGAGAGGTGGAAGCCTCACCTGGCCAGGAGTTTTGAGGGAGTTAGCTAAGGACGCACAATGGACCAAGGAGCACAGGGAAGTGGCCTCCTGTGGCTCTTGACATGTGCTGGTCTGCACACCTCTATGACATCTAGGCCACTGTCCCACAGATGCATCTGCTTCTGAGATTCACCACTGTGATGACTTTTTTTGGTGCCACAGGAGAAGTGTTCTTCTTCTTGTGTAGCTTCTGTTGTCTTTCTCGAGAAGGGACTGCAGAAACAGAAATATTGAGGCAGAGGGTGATGTCACTTGCTTGTGTCACTCTTGTGGCACACATCATGGAGAACTGAGGCCACCAAGAAGCTTAGAGTTTGTAGAGAAAGATGATGTCTAAAGAAGAAGAGGAATGAATTGCAGAGGTTGTGGCGAATGGCTTTGGAAGATATACCACGGGGAAGAAGCCAGGTCTACCTGGGCTAGGTTTCATGAGCAGACATACAACTGAGTCAAGTTACGAAAAATGAGTCCTTTTATGGCAGGAGGATGGGGAGAGAGTGACGTTTAGGCTGACACAAAACATAGATGTGTGACCTGAATGCCTCCCCAGGGGTTGGAATGGCCCTCAGAGAGGGCAAGGGATGGCTCTGGTGTTGGTGGGTAGAAAGGATGGTTGGTCATAAGAGCCCAGACCTGGGGGCTTCATATGGCGTACCATGCAGGTGATGTTTTCTGAGTAGCTGGTTGACATTTTAAAACCAAGACTGAATAAGATGAGTTGGTTCAGATGCTACAGGGTAACTCTAGTGGCAGGGTATGAGCTTCTCAACCCTGGCTGCACCTCAAAAATATTGATATTGAGTCACTGTCCTCAAGAATTTCTCATTTGTTTGGGCTTAGGTGAAGCCTAAGGATTGAACCCAGTCTACAAGCCCTCTAAAACTTTTTAAAAAATATTTTGAGGCAGGGTCTTGTCAAGTTTTCCAGTTGGCTTCAAACTTGTGATCCTCTTGCCTCAGCCTCTCAGAGAGCTAGAATCACTACATTCAGCTGCACTGGTCTTTTAAAAATAGCTTCTCAAGTGATTTGAGTATGTGGCTAAGACAAACAGCCCTGGGGACATTGGCAGTGTCTACATATGTTTTGAATTGTTACATCTAGGAATGCTACTAGGATTAGAGACTAGGGACATTGGTAAACATACTACGCTGTGTGGGATAATCCTCAAACAAAGGATGATCCTGCCTAAAATGTCTAAGGGCACCATGGTGAGAGTCTTGGGCTGGAAAACACACTGGGGGCTGGAGACAGGTGCCAGGGAAAAGGCAGAGCCTGATATTCCAGGAGGGAATTAGTGACTTTCCCTTGAGGTAGGATAAGAGACAAGTTGAACACAAAAGCACAATCAATAGAAGTTGATCATTCTTGCTCGTGGCTTGGGTCTTTCAGAATGCTTGCTTGGCTTATGACCAGGGTAGAAAGAGAAGATTTCTGGGGGCAAGGGCAGCACTCACTGGTTAGGGCACAGGGCTTGTGAGTGTCTTTGAGGTGCTAAGGTGACCTGGCCACAGATCGGTTGGATTTCGCATGGCCAGGTTTTAACACAAGTACACCCCATTCTGTTAGAAACAAACAAACTGATCTGAGGTTTGGGTCACTTTCTTCCTCTTGGCATAGAGAAGTCATAATTATTATTGTCTCTCTGGGGACCTGCTCCAGTTTAAAGGAAATTTCCAGCCCTTGAGATCTGCAAGTGAGTGACAGCTCTTTAATTGGAGGAGCAGCGTGGGCGTGGTAGGTGGGATGTCAAAGCCATCAAAGCCATGGTTTCTGATCCCTTTGTGATGTCAGGATCTCTGGCATACCTGCAGTCATGCCCTGGCAGGCGAGCATCTGAGGGCAGATGTGTGGCTGTCGCCCTCCTTTTTCTCCTGTCCCCTTTCCCCAACACGGGTCAGACAGAACCCAGCTGTGGCACGGTCATGTGGCATTTTTGTGTTGCCTGGGAACAAGACGGGACTGATTCTTCATCATGGAGGGGACCAGAGAGCAATCTGGCTGGGAGCAGGGCACTGACATTTGTCCAAGGGCGGGACGGCTGTGCCTCTCCCTTACCTGCAGGACCCAGTTTGGAGGTCTGAGAGGTCACAGCTGTTTGGTGCAGAAAGGCAATTGCTTCTCTTTCCCTGGAGAATACCTGAAACAGTTCAGATTCTCTGCCCTTTATGGAGGGGAAGGGATTTTTCTGATTGAGGATAGAGCAGTCTGAGTCTGCTACGGCTGCCCTAATAACCACAAGCTGTGTGACTTAAACCACAGAAATGTGTCTTCTCACAGTTCT